AATCCAGTATTCTCAACCTGGAATTTGTAGAACTGGTTGCAGTGGTGGGTCTCAGGACTATTTTAAGTTGGTGTGCAAAAAGGCTGAAGAAAAGGATGTGTAGTATCAACAGGCTACTACTAGTCATAAGTGAGCATAAGCTACCACAGCAAAACTTCAAATATTTTGTAAATCAAAGGTGGCAAAAAGCACTCCTTTAGCCATCAGTAATGGAGAAACCTCCAGTGAGATGCATGAATCAAGAAAACAGTGCTAGGAAATTCAGAAAGCACCTAAAGATGGCTTGACTCTTAAGCCCAAGTAATTCCAAACCATTCCATGTGGGTTCCTATATTGTGTTCCCCTATATTGTTAAGTAATATACTGAGCAGTATGTCATGCATATGTTCTTCCATTGCTCCTCAGAGGAAAAAAAATAACTTCTATTTCTGCTGTGGTATTAGAGAAGATCAAAGAAACAGTATGAATGATGAGCAGAGGATAGGGACCGTCTGTTTTGAGGAAAGTGATCCATTGGGTCAGCAGAGCATCACTGTCAAGCATGGCCTGCAGCCCAAAGCTGACAATGGCATTAGGGACGTGATGGAGCCAGGCTGCTCATTATCTGAGCATACACAACTTCTTTATTTCAAATTCTACACACAGTCTAGAATACGTTTAATGCTTGCACAATAATCTGCACTTCTCTATATACTCGCAGCTTTCTTAGTGTTAAAGGCTGCCTGCCCAGACGTATTTCATTGCTGAAGTCCTGCTGAGAGGCCTGAATAACCAACAAATGACTGGGGCCAGCAGTGGGCCAGCCAAAAACATTCCTCTCACGTAAGAGAACAGAAGGTGGAACGAAAAGACAAAAGACACAACAGAAAATGGAGGGTAATTAGAAAGACAGGAATGAAGGGTGGACTTTGGTCTTCTGAGTAGTCAAACATCCAGTGTTTTGAATTGCAGAGGCTGGAGCAATATGTATACAGAAGCTCTGTGTATACATCTTAGTGTTTTTCTATAGATTTTATGTATCTATTTTATATGATCTTTACATCTAGAGAACAAGTCCTGTGAGGAGCAGCTGAAGGAGCTGGAGTTGTTTAGCCTGAACAAAAGGAGGCTCAGGGGGGACTTTCACACTCTCTCCAAATGCCTGAAAGGAGGTTGTAGCCAAGTGGGGATTGGTCTCCTCTCTCAGGTAACAAGCAATGAGAGAAAAATGCCTCAAGCTGCACCAGGGGATGTTTAGATCGGATATTTGGAAGAATTTCTTCATGGAAAAGGGTGTCAAACATTGAAGAGGCTGCCCAGGAAAGTGGTGCAGTCACTGTCTCTGAAGGTATTTAAAGGATGTGTAGATGTAGCACTTGGGGACATGGTTTAGTGGTGGATTTGACAACACTGGGCTAATGGTTGGAACTGATCATCCTGGAGATCTTTTTACAATCTAAACAATTCTGTGATTCTACATTTTTGACAAATCTACTTCTGAGAGCTGCCTACAAACAGGAGACACCCCATAAAGGATGTGCTTCCTTATTTCCTGCACTTTTGCTTTTGGGCACAGTTTTGGACATTAATCTGAATCATATACTATCTTGCTTCCTTTTTCTTTGTACAATATATAGCACAACCAGTTTACTTGTTGTTATGGTAATGCTATTAATAAATACACTATCTGAATAAATCTAGTGTGAAGTGGCAAAATAGCAGGACTCCATCAGCACACCACATCTAGTGACATTCATCAGAGGGGACAAATGAGCAAAAACTCATGAAAAATCTCAATTACAGCAATAGCCCAGGATCTCCTCTGCAATAATTTAGTGAGGACTCAAAATGCTATCCTCACAAGAAAATTAAACCAAACCAGTGCAATTTCCCATTCAACAACTATTTCTTACAATAACAAGTTGCTTGCTCCTTAGGCAGAAACATCCTCCTGCATCTTCCAAAAGCATGAGCCCCTATCATATCTGAGACTCACAACCCTCTATCAAAAAACAATTTGGAGAAAATAAGCTATCTAATGGCACTACAATTTGGAGAGAAGAGAAATGCTCAAGTAGCAATGAATTTCTACACATGATCAGAAACAAACAAAAGCATTATTACAAATCCATGTAGACCCCCAAGTGATGCTAACAGTAGGCACCCAAAGCTATGATATCCCGGAAGAAAGCAACATGATTTTTCTTGTTCTCCTCTAAAATAACAGAAATATGCTGCTACACTAACAGAAACCTTCATCTTACTGTCCAGATGTTTACCATATGTTATGCAGCAAAATTCATATTTTACTGTTGTCTTTCATCTGCAATGCAGTCTTCTCTGTCCTCCACCTAACTAACTGGAACAGCCAGGATATTTCTAATAGAGAAGCACAGCTTTCACTTCCCCTCAGAGTGCCAGTTGCCAGCCTGAAGTAGGGGCTTGTGTTTTGTCAAAATCCAGCAGCAGAGTTGTTTCTACAATGTCAAAAAATCAAGTGAAGCCATTTATTGAAGCTGATGCCTTCCTGACAAGCCAGGCAAGCTGTGCTCCCTACAAGCTGGATCTAAAAATATATTCTGCTGGACAGGTCAGCGGTCTGTACACTGCATGGCACAGTCCTGCCTGGTACCACTGGAGTGCCATCAACATTTGCCCTGATCAAAAGGAACACACAATGCTCAGAGTCGTCCTTTATGTTTGCTATTAAAAAAAAAAAAAAAAGAGTAGAGAAGTAACTTTGCAAGCTGTTTATTATGTTGATAACAATGCCTTATAATAAAAATAATAATGAGCAATCAAGAGTCTTTTTCTGCTAAATTTTCCTTTCAAACACTTCCTAAGTCAACTGCACTTAGCAAGGGTTTAATAACAGATAAGTAATGGTGAACTCAAAATGCATTTCTGGGGCTTTTGTTAAGATAACATTTTCTTTGTTGGAACATTTACATTTTGTATGTGCACATGTACACACATACAGACTGGGTATCTGTGTGTGCAGCAATTTGTAGTGGATATCATTGTATCTTCCACCCCATTACCTAAACTGAGCATATTAAGTTTAAATCAGAACAGTAAAAGGACGTTAAATGAGCAAAGGACAAATGAAAAGGTAGGACTTAGGGGAAAGAAGGACAGTGGGCTAAAAGAACTAAGAGAAGCACGGGGATGGATTGGATTCTATGGGAAAACTGATATTGGAACACACCCTGGGAAGCAGACTTCATTACTGTTTCTCTACCCTGATTGCTGAAGTTCTCTCTCTGGGTTTGATCAGCAAGACGTGCATAATTTATATTAAATAAAAAAATCTCAGAGTACTCAAGGCTTTTCTGTTTAGTCCTCCTGAGAATTTTAGTTGTAATCACAAACTTGATTTCCCCAAATAACTAGGATTCAATAAACACACATGAGCTAGTCAGTAAGATCTAACATGTATTACAATCCATTAGCTGTTTTATCATCATTTTTCTTAACACAAAAAGCACATCAATTCTATTTCCTCTTTTATAATATTTTCCTGTTGCACAAGGCCCAGAACATGAGTCCTGGTCTGTAAGTGAGACTTCAGGGCACTTCTAACAAAAGAATACAAAATATCTTCATACCTAATTTGAACAAGTTTTAATATTAAATGTCACTAAATACACAACCAGAATTTTCCCTACTACAGCACCCACTTAGAGAGAAATCAACTAAAATCTAGCCAGTATTATCAAGTTTTATTTGTGTTTATATCTTACCTACTTGGAGTAATTATTTTCTTCTCACACAAAGACTATCTGATCAGCCACCTAGCAGCAATCTCACATACACAGGTTGCAGAGCCAAAGCATCATCATAAATACAATAGCGCAGAACAAAACTTCATTTTCATGTCTGTATGTTACTGCTACTCTGCTTGTGATTAAGACAAATAAATATATATACACAGAGATGTATTTATAGAAGTAAAAAATATTAAGGGCACTTTTCATTTCAAAAAACAAACACGTAAAGTAAAAACATAAATGCAAGGTATTCTTGTTAAGTTTACCTTTACCACGTTACACCTTACCAACAATGGCTTCATAGGACTTGCAGGAGAACTAATCACAAGTAGAATGAAAGCATGACCATATGCAATCCTAATCCACTTGTGTCCAAAACAAAGAGTGCACAAAGATGTTAGGACTAAATTCTAAATGGAATGTTTCATTCCTAGGCTTTTCACTGTTTATATCACTACAGTGAAATCTATTGGCAGCAAGCAGGACAACTTACTTTGGAGAATACTTCAGTTTTATTTCACTTTCAGAACTATTTTTAGATGCATATTGAACTTGGAAAAATTCAATGGCTGCATTTTAACCATGCAAATCACAGAACTGGAAGTTGTTTCAATCACATGTATGTATATAAGCATCCATGACCTAACACAAAACCAGTATGTTACACATGAGTGCTCCACAGAACAGTTTTATAGAGTAAATTCTGTCTAACGATATAAAATCTGATTAGGATTTTAGCCATACTTCTTTCCAGCAAACAAAATCTGAGAGAACTACAGAGCTACCAAATCTGGTTAGAGAGAAAAGAACAGAGCACTTTGCATTACTGAACAGTTCTTTCTAAGACAGTTACTGGGATATCCACTCTGGGATATAAGGGTATGTGATACGGTGAAGCAATAAAGATCAGAAAGTTGATGTGGTGAGGAAGAGTGGGACTGACCCTGATGTGCACCAAACCTCATTATATTGCAATAAGTTTACAAATCTACGAGCAGTTACTTTTAGATCCCTTCTAAGTGAAACAGATGCAGACTTGAATCAATAGAAAAGCAGAACATAGATACTGTGCCTTGGAAGTTAGCTTCAGTTGGCCTACATTCACCCGCTAAACTCAGAATATTTACACATAATACTGACCCCCATAACCACAAGCGTAAATGTATAGAAGTGTAATTTAGCTGCTTTCTGGTTACATTATATTCTTCTACAAATTAAACTCCTGTCAATACACAGTTATTACATGCTTACCACTGTGCCTAGAAACTGAATGCTGGTCTCTCCAGAGGCATTCCGAGAAATCCGCTGAAAAACACAAATGTAAGAATTGATTAAAGCAACTCCAATTTTGTAACCATTCCATTTTCTTTGTCACATCATTGTAAAGTAATCAAAAATAATTTAATACATAAATCTATACATTAAACAGATAAAATAATTTCCTTCACGGAAGTACTAGAAGTCTAAATCATACTTCATCTCAGATTTTGGTTTTAGTTCAGTCAACTCAATAAAATTTATTTTTGAAGGACAATGAAGGCAAAGATGGCCAAGTACAACACAGAGCAACCTTGTGCTCGAATGTCATGAATAATAAGGCTTCTGCCATCTCGGTGATTCTGTATTCTGTTACTCACATTTAGTATTATCTTCATTCTCTCCTAATGAGAGACATTTTAATCTCTTTTTAAAATGCAAACCTCCAATGATGCTACTTTGAAAACAGAAAAAAAAAATGACCTTATGAAATGTCTGGTCACCTACTGTGGTTCAGGAGTTGATTGAAGTTATTAAAGAGTCTTCAGATATTACATTGTCAGTAAGCCGCAAGACAATGCAAGAGAAAATATATTACTGGTTTCACACAGTATTAAACATAATTTAAATATGCAAGATGTATAAATAATTCTTTCTTCCTGTGAATCATTTTCTCCTTCAGTGTCAAAACGTTTTTCTCACATTTCATTCCTACTATCTAAGCTATGGCCCACATGGGTCCCAACTGAAGGAACACAGCCCTCATTTAACACAATGGGCACACAGCCCTTTTACACAATGCCAAGTGTACATAAAAGTACTAAAGCACAGATCTGAGAAGATGAGTATTATTGCAAAGAACTGCACAGAAGCCTTCAGCATTTTAAAGACAAAAAATCATAAGAGCAGGGCTGCAAATAATCTCCCAGCAGAATCAAAACACACCAGTGTCACTCCCAAATGATGTGTTTCTAACTCATTCTCAAAATCTTTCAATTGCAAAAACATCACAGCCTCCCCCTGGGCAATTTATCCCACTGTTCTGCATCTTTACCATGAGGAAGTTTTTCCTAATATTTGATTAAAATAACCCTTACTTCAAACTGTATTACTCATATTAATTCTCATCTGTTTCACTACACACAGGAAACACAGATTATTCCCTTCCTTTCTACAGCTACCTCCAGGTATGTGAAGAGCCCTAATCATGGCTCCCCTAAGTCTTGTCTTGTCTAGACCAAATGAGAAAGCGCTGCACCACAATAGCTAGATATCCCCCAAAACAATTTTAATAGCAATAAATTAAATCCTAATCCCTTTCCACTAATGGTGCATGTTCCTCAGCCACACTTTATGAAGTAATAATTACTACAGCCCAAACATGCTTATTTTTTGACTTAACCGGTCACACACTGACATTGCAATCTGTACAATCATATGAAAACAAAGGGTGATGTGCCAGAGCCTGACATATTTCAACAATAATGATTAATGGAATGGAAAATATGGGAAATAAAATTTCATACAAAACCTGACGTTTACTTTTATAAAGGAAACAGGAATATACACTTTTCCCACAGTCTAGGATAAACACAATCAGGTTTTGGAAACCACAAAGAAGAACAAAGTACCGGCTGCCTACAATGAACAAACCACATGCCAAAACAAACAAGTCCCAACCACTTGATAAGCTGTCAGAAAATGGCAAGCCGAAAAAAATTAAAGGATTTAATTTCTTTTTTTCCTGGAATGCCCTCCACCCTCGTTAGAGTTCTGTCACTTATTGTGCTACCCTTTTGTCCGCTTTCAAGGGTCATTAGAGACCTTTTCATGTCCTAATAAAAATTCCATTTTTTTGGCTAATCTCCCTGTCACACAGAAAAACACAACTTAAAAAACAAAACAAAACAAAAAGAAAAATAGAGGCCCTTTTGTAATTTTCTTTAAAGGCTTTCAGAGTAAAGCCAGGTATCTTGACAACCTGACTTACTTTTCTCAACTGAAAAGCAAATCATTAAAGTACTTCCTCACACAGATTTTCTTTACTTGCAGCCAAATAAGCTAGCATAGCAAAAACCAAGCCCTTCCAAAACTAATTTAATAACCATTTCAATTAAGTCAAATAAATATGTATATAAAGAAGGCACCTTCTAAAGCCTCAGCCTCAAGTCAAGACAAAGATAGCAGCAGCATTTTTCCTGCCCTGACACTGTTGGAGCACACTGTTATCACTCTACAGCAGTTTCCCACTGCTACTGTTTTCTGTGTCCAAAAAAGCATTTCATTCAGTGTCAATTGCATTTAAAGTCAGTACAAGCACTAAAATCCATCTCTTAAATCAACATCTGGGGGGACAAGGATAGGGGAAGAATAATGGGGAAAGTGAAGAAAATAGTTAAGAAACAGAAGGGAAAAAGAAATTTCCCTCATGGGTGAATGTAAAAAACAAAGAATAAGGAAAGATAGAGAAATTTTCCAAGTCACAAAACATATGTTACAGCAAAACAAAAAAGAGAACTGCCAGGCTTTGAGAACTGTGTTACAAAAGAACTCAGAACATTATCATAATTAATGTTTCAAATTACAGTAAATAAATTTCAGCTATTAGATGTGATTAGATTTTTCTGAAAAGAGGTATTTCTGTTCCACTGGCAGGCTTGTGTTTCTGGGATTTGTAAATGTAATTGATGTTTTCAAGAAAATGAAAGGACATGGTTAACAATTATTCTTTTATTTCCCACCTCTTTAGAAAAAGGACCAGTCTCCAGTTTCTCTTGTAAAGTTAGATATTTACATATTCTATACCTCATAATAGATGGTTTCATATTGCATGTGATAGCAGGAAAGTAATCAAATAGAGGTAACAATAGAGAATAGCTAATTATATGCATTGTCATTGCTCTCCTAATAAATTGCAAATTATTTGCTAGGAGGTTTACAGCAAAAAGGCAAGGGAAATTTATCATTTGTTCAAAGACAAAACACCCCCATGAGTTTACCTGCCAATACAGTAAAATTACATTGTTGACATAAATTATGCTATCTTAGATATAACCAATTTCTTTTCTGGTTGATTCAGTGTGCAGAGCTTCAGACTAATTTAATTATTATCATGTGAGTTAAAAGTATATTTTTCTTTCCTTATGAGAAACTAACAAGCTAACTCAAATGTGAAAAAAAATCACAACTTCAAAAAATCCATCTGCAGTCTCAAAGCTGTCAAATGGGTGTGAGTGTTACATAAATATTATATGTATTTTTTACACACACAGGTTACAGTATGCTATACTGCATATGCTATGTATATACAAACAAAATGATTCTGCACACATGTAAAAGTAGATAAGTGTATACAATCATACAAAATGTGTTTGATTCACCTCTATCTTGTGTATGCTATACCACAGTCATTTCATAAATAATCATTTTAATCTGTAAATCCCAGTAAATTACAAAAGGGTAGTGTGATATGACTTTAAATTCTTCTGCTTTGCCATAGAAAATTATTTCCACTTAGTTGGGTATCAATGATGTATTCATTGTAAGATGCAGTAGGGTTACAATCAGCTTTGCATTAAGCCTGCAATGGATGAGCACTAGCAGATAAAAATGATAACAACCTTTGCATGAAGAAGGATAAAGCAGCTCAAGAAAACATTATATCTATATATATTACTGAAAGACATTCTTAACTGACATTATTAGACAACAACAAGATCTTAGAATATTTTCCACAAATCTTCTGGTCTCTAAGACTCTCCAAGCTACTAGAAGGCAGCAGCTGCAGAGAAGGTACAACACAAAAACAAAGAAACTTCAACAGACCAAAAGCAATTTTTTTTTTTGGTTTACTTATAAATGAAAAAGTAATGATATCCCCCAAAATCAGAATTAATTTGAACTGGCAAAGCCAATCAGATAAATAGATACAACCTTCTCAAACACAATTATCTTCAACTACTATATACTGGCTTTACTTGCTGAAAGTAAAAGCTGGAGACCATTTCTTTTTTTCTGGAGACAGAAAACACACAGATTGTCACTCAGCCAATGATTTTGCAATTTTTTCAAGCTATGGCATGACTATATTCCCAGTTGAAAAAACATGTAGCAAACTACCAAACCAAAACCAAAATTACAAGCCCAGAAAATTTATGGATAAGCTACAGATAAAATTTTGATCAAAACACTGGTAGTTTCCCAGCATGGTGCTGTTTTTCAGAATGCAGAATTTCCTGCAGCCCAGCTCCTATTGCTTTATTTCAACTACTCACTAACAAAAATTCTGAACATCTTTTATCAGGAATTTCAAATAGAAGGTGCTATCTTTTGGTGAACACTTAATTCTTGAAAATTCCACCTAACAAAACACAGGCTAGAATGATCTCTAGATAGGTTTAATTAAAAAACAAATTATTCCCACCATAGGGAAGTCGGGGAAGAAAACCCACAGTAATTTACCTTGTAAAATTGTAACAGATTCATTTGCTAGTACTTAATCTGTGAGATTTTGTATACATGAGGGTGCTTGGACATCTGGAAAGCTCCATCTTCCACCCATGTCACTCCAACCTGTGGAGTCCCATGGTTGGGTCAGAAAGGAGAAAAAGCTACAGAAGTAGCTGTGAAACTTTTAAAGTCATCCTCTCAACAAAAAGAAGTGATTGATTTGACCTTACCAGTCTCATTTTCCCTCTCCTTCTAGCAAGCAGAACTTCATTTCAGCACTGCCTTTGCACTGTGCAAAATCCCAGTGGAGGGATGCAATCCCAGACTAGCAATGTGACCCGGATTTGTAGTATGCTGCAGTCTGTCTATATTGCACTGCACATTCAGACTTGTTCACCCTCACAAGCCTTTCCACTTTGGGAATCACCCCAGCTTTTCACAATTTAACATTCTGCACTGCTGGTGCCACCATTGTCTCCCCCTAGAGCATTGAAGTACAGATGGGAAGTTAGCCTGATTTTGTGCACTGCTCTACCCTTAGCCATTACCAGTCTCAGTTCACACTTTATAGTAGAAGAAGCCTCAGTGAGTTGTTCTTC